AACCTTTAGCGGAAAAGAACTGTAAATTATAACAAAACCTGTGGTAGAGGAGACGAAAGCTGGGTCTTTTGTAACAAATAATAATAGATTTTTATTGTGAATAAGAACGCGAAACTAAAGTGAACGTTTTAGTTATTTTGGTACTCTTTAGAATTTCAGTTTATAGTTTTAATCCTATATCCGAAGATAGTTAAATATGTTTTGCACATGTGTGCTATGAGACAGCCAGACCCCCTTGGCCTGAGTCATAAAAAAAGGTCTCTTTTGTTTCGTCGCCTCTACTACTCGAAGGGATAATATGATCGAGAAAACTCTCTCTTTTCCGTATTTTTGGTTTTTCCAGTTTTTTGCAAGAGTGCATGGGAATGGATGTACTCCTACCCTTTTCCCTTCGGGGGTGGGGGTTGAGGCCCCAGGTTGAGACTGTAGAGATAGAGAGATGTAACGTCAGATTTTCCCCGACTTTGAAAGAATAAAGTTCGAAATACTTTGTGGAACAAATCTTAAGTTGTATTGTTGCGTTATAGAAATAAATTGTTGCAGTTTGAAAAGAGATAAATTTTCCTTTTATTCATTCAGTAAAATCCTGTAACAAATTTTCACGATTAACTTCAAGTTGTTTTACCATAATTATTTCTCCGCGGGAGTTGAGCTTTCTAGCTCTTCATTGCAGAAACGAACTCTAACGTCGTCGAGGATTCCGCTTTGAAATCATAATAAAATTCGAGATCAAATTTTCATAACAATACTAAAGCAAATTTGAATTTTGAGAACTTTACCGCGCAAAACAGACTCGGCGCGTCACAGAGAGTTTCACGCAATACCTCCTATGGGGCGTTGAGCGAACTACATACTTACCTCATGATAATTTCTGCAGCGCGGTAAGTACGTAGTTCGCTCAACGCTCCGTAGGAGGTGTTGTTTCAAACTCTCTCGCAACTAACATGAAACTTGAAAAGTATATAAGGAGGCAGCATTCTCACAAATATTTGTGGAATTTTATTCTGCCCGTCCTCTCCTATTTTTGCATTGATGGATGTGAGGTAAATAATTTTTAGACGTTGAATAATGAGATAGAAAAAGAAAGACATATACTTACGTCCTTCTTACACTCACTGCTCAACGCAAAACGCAGCGTTTCAACGCAAGCATGTAAACACAGCCTTAGACTATGAACGAAAGGGTTAAGGGGCTTGTATACCTCCTCCGTTCTAAGGGTGCGATCCCATGTGAGCAGAATACGTCGACCGAAAGCAGAAAATCATCAGTGCAAAAGAGATAGGTAGATATTGTTGTTCTTTTCACTCTCATGATTTTCTGCTTTCGGTCGACGTATTCTGCTCACATGGGATCGCACCCTAAGTATATCAGAAACGTCCAGCATTTTGATTGGCTATGCTCATAGAGAATTTCCAAAAAATTTAATGTTTTGGCAATTCTCTATGAGCATAGCCAATCAAAACGCTGGACGTTTCTGAATATACTCAGAACGGAGGAGGTATACAAGCCCCTTTATTCACATTTCGATGTGATAGAAAATAATAACCATTTCTATAAAATAATTAATTAAAAAAATTAATATTTTTAATAATAAATAATAATAATAGGGTCAATTGGGGTAAATGTAAACGGAATATCTATTTTTCACCAAAAACATTAGTTTTTTTTGTTAGGCCGCAGTCCCATGGCAGCGTTTTGCGTTGCGTTGTAATGAGAGAGAATGCAGCAAACGTATATTTGCGTCTTTTACTCTCCCATTAAGACGCAACGCAAAACGCTGTCATGGGACTCCACCCTTAAAAGGTAAAACGGACGGATTTTTTTGCATGAACTTGTAACTAGAGTTCCCTAGAAAAATTTTATGAGGTTCAAAAAAATATTGATGCACCTGAATCGCCTAAAACTGACTGTTTACATTTACCCCGAGATTTTGAAATTTTCCTAAAATTCGGGGTAAATGTAAACACCACTGTAGTTAAGCGAGGTTTAAGAAACAAGTTATTTCAAGTATACTACTGTTTTAAGGGATGGAAAAACTGATAAAAATTCTTCGTAGATGTATAGTAAATCAACCAGTTGACTGATAACACAGGTCAACAAAAAAAGACTTACTTTTTTTTATGAGATAGCGGAATGGTTTCCTATGTATTTTTGGACGCTGAACACGATCCCGACTTCCAAATTTGCCCATCACGTCAGGATTTTGAGAAAAGTGGGGGTAAAGACCCCAAAAACGCTTTTTTGAGGATTTTCAACATTTCTTTTCTCTTTAACCTGACGTACTAGAGACTTCCACAAGGTCTTAAATTAAAGCTTGTAATGTGCACTACAAGACCAATATCCATAAAATAAAAAAAAGTTAAAATTTTTTTCAAAAAATGGGGTTGAAGACACCAAAAATTTGTGTTTTTAGATTGCTTTAATAGACTTCTTGCAATCGCTTGGATTCGCTTGAAAATGGGTACTTGGGGTTTTTGGGGTCGCTGATTACGAATCCGATATTTGTTTGCAAAAATTTAAAACGGCGAAACCAAGATGGCAGATGTAAAAATTAAGAATTGCTTGGATTCGCTTGAAAATTGTTATTTCAGGGTTTTTGGGGTCGCTGATTACGAATCCGCCATTTTTAATTTTTGCAAACTAATATCGGATTCGTAATCAGCGACCCCAAAAACCCCAAGTAACCATTTTCAAGCGAATCCAAGCAATTGCAAAAAGTCTATTAAAGCAATCCAAAAACACAAATTTTTTATGTCTTCAATCCCATTTTTTGAAAAAAATTTTTATTTTTTTTTTATTTTATGGATATTGGTCTTTTAGTGAACATTACAAGCTTTAATTTAAGACCTTGTGGAAGTCTCTAGCACGTCAGGTTAAAGAGAAAATAAATGTTGAACTAGTAATGTAAAAACTTGAATAACTTGAATAAGAATCTAAAATCGAATTTTTAAATTTCAAAATGGTGGATCCAATATGGCGGATGAACCTAAAAATAATATTTTTAAATATTTGAAGTCAAATTTTAAATTTTCAAAATGGCGGATGAACCTAAAAATATTTTTAAAAATTGATCAAATTTTCAAAAAAAAAATTTTTTTTATCAAATTTTTTTTTAAAGAGGACCTAATTTCCTTTTCTATGTAATTTTACATTGCCAAATTAATGAAATTGTGAAATAGAAGCAAATTTATTCAATTATTTTCTTTTAAAATGTAGTTCAAGTTCTGTTTACATTTACCCCGAGTTTTCGAATTCTCGGGGTAAATGTAAACACTTAATTATTTATTAACTAAATTGACGAAAATCAAAAATCAAGGTCAATTTTTGTTAGGGCATTAATAAAGAAGAATTACATATTTTTGTTTGATTTTTAAATTTATTTTTATGCAAATACGAGACAAAATACTAAAACAGTCAAACTTTGGTTTTCAATCTTTTTTGCATTAAAAGGTAACTTACACTATGGCATTGCCAATTGTCAAAATAAAATATTGGCAATACTCAGAATAACATCTTGTAGGTGAGCTGAGGTAAAAATATTGACGTCGTACTTATTTTTTAATTTGTAAATTTAACTGAAACATCTACTGTTTACATTTACCCCTTGTTTACATTTACCCCCAAATGACCCTAAATAAAATAATTATTAATTAAAGGTAATGAATTTAACAATCTATCCGAATCAACTTTTCACTCAGCACTTAATTTCATGTATCGACAGCACAGCTATCCTAAATACAGAAACCTGCCTTCTTGAAAAATATTTTTCGAAATTAATTAATAATTTCTAAAATATCAAAGAATTAGAAAAAAATCGGGGGTATGGTGGGATACGAACCCACGACCTTTCTATTGTCGGTAGACTGCTCTGACCAACTGAGCTACATGCACCTCCGAGATCTTCCCAACTCTTTGATACTTTTATACTTCTACTTTATTTCATGGTAAGGTAGAAATTTTTATAAAGTGATAATTAAGCCAATTTAGATTCAATGGCGAATTTTTAAATTTTAAAATGAATTTATAATTCGGTGGTATATATAATTAAAGGTAATGAATTTAACAATCTATCCGAATCAACTTTTCACTCAGCACTTAATTTCATGTATCGACAGCACAGCTATCCTAAATACAGAAACCTGCCTTCTTGAAAAATATTTTTCGAAATTAATTAATAATTTCTAAAATATCAAAGAATTAGAAAAAAATAGGAGGCATAGCAGTCTACCGGCAGTAGAAAGGTCGTGGGTTCGTGGCCACCATGCCTCCGATTTTTTCCTAATTCTTTGAAATTTTAGAAATTATTAATTAATTTCGAAAAATATTTTTCAAGAAGGCAGGTTTCTGTATTTAGGATAGCTGTGCTGTCGATACATGAAATTAAGTGCTAAGTGAAAAGTTGATTCGGATAGATTGTTAAATTCATTACCTTGAATTATATATACCACCGAATGATAAATTCATCTTAAAATTTAAAATAATTATTAAATAAATAAATTTATTATTTTATAAAATTTAATAAAATTTTTTTTTATTATTGGTTTTTTAATGGCAGCCAATAATGTGCCAATAATGGTTGCCAATTATTGGCATTGGCGTGGACATCCCACGATTCTACCATTAGTGGTCCATTATTGATATTATTATTGATATTATTGATATTGATATTCCAGTATTGTCCGGACAATACTGGAATGTTGGCTCCCAATATATTGGGTCATTAATGCGCCAATGGTCTTTTTCCCATTGGGAAATGCAAGGAAAAATTCTCCTTGCATTTTTCGAGCAAAATTACATTAATAACTTCCAGAAAGTTAACATCGAAAACATCTTGCAAAACAAGGATGCTATCTGGGTGCCAAAGTCATATCCAATAAATGTATCCATGTACAATTAAATACTTGATAAATGAAGTATCTATTTTACAATAAGTATATTCAATTAGAAAACATTAAATTTTAAGAATTCATTAAAAAACTTATCTAATACAAATATGTTACCTTTAATATAACACTTCTCAATTATCACAGATTTGTTTTGGTGGCATTTCTTTCTTTTTATATTGACTGCATTGGCTGTTTATGTTCTTTTTCTAAAGAGCCTAATGTTCTATTAAAAATTTGAAATCACATTTCCAAATTAGGAAACAATTTGGTCATTACAAAGTAGGCAACGTCATAATTATTCCAGTAACCCGTATGAGATGTTAATGTTGTTAGATAATTTCTTCCTAAACCACTTGGACGAAGTACATAATCCAATCGATGATTTAATTCTGTTAAAACATTAATATATAACATTATTATTTTAAATACCATTCTTTATTTTTCGATTTAATATTGCAATATATTAATTTATTCTTTTATATAATCTTAAAAACCTTTTAATCTAATATTTTAAAGAAAGATATTTCAGCAAAAACAGTAATACTTGCTCACAGACAGACATTTTTGACATTTGTAAATTATTCTGATGCATTTTTGTGATTCTGATATTTTGTGGTTTTCTTGATTATTTCTTACACAATTTTAGAGTGCGTCTTTAAATTTTTTGTAAGAACTCCATCAGTTCCGTAAGGGAAAGTAGGTAGGAATATATATGGGAAATTTAAATTCATTTCCTATGTCAGAATTGACATAGGATTTCATTTAAGATTCGACATAGAGTTTCATGTGAGATTTGACGTGGTATTTTATTAGAGATCCAATGAAGGAATTTTCAAAAGATTAAAAATTATTATTATTATTTATCTAGTGTTACAGGTTTTCAACTCTTATATGGGGAAATCTCACGAAATGGGGACTTTTTGTTGTAAAAAAATTTATTTTTCAAATTAGTGGCACATTTTTTTTACCATAAATTATTATTCTTCGACCAAATAGAAGGATATTTTAACCGGCGTAATTCATATTTATTAATTGCTACTTTATTTAAACTATTTTTTTCATATTGCTTCCTCATAGAGGAAGGATTGTATTAGCAAAATTTTTGATTGTGATTTTTTGACATATTTACAAACTTTTTTTCATTATACCTAATCGTTTAGTACTTTATGCACGAATGGGCATTGCCCGTATAAATGTTATAAATAAATATAAAAAAATTTTTATGTAATTTTATCTCAGAAGTCCAAAAAACGGATTTTAAAAAATTGTCCCGATGTGTGTGTGTGTGTGTGTGTGTGTGTGTGTGTGTGTACTAACATTACATTTGCCTCAATATCTCAGAACAAGAAAGAGCTAAAGGCCTCAATTTTTTTTTAAATTGCAGGCCTCCCCGGGGGACATAAAATGAGAGTATTTTCAGCCCGATTCATAAAGTTTAACTATATTTTTTTTGCATTTTTCATTTTGTAAAAAAACGTTTTTTGGCCTTAACTTAAAAAAAATGTTAGGACACCTATAAATGTTTTTCTTTAGTTTTGTAGAGTTTTTTCAGGCGCATCTTTTGAGCCTTCATTGAACATTTTTCGTCCATATTATCCGTAGATATTAAAGTTTTAAAAATCTAAATTTTTCGAAAATAACACTTTTTTGAAAATTTTGTTGAAAAATATAAAAGTAACTTCAAAAGTATCATTACCAACTTGTAGAGCACTTAAAAAGGCTTCGATTGGCCTATTTTTGAACCTGATTCGGTCAGAAATTATCAAATTATTGGTATTTGAAAAATCAAAAATTGTGGAAAATAACATTTTTTCAACATTCTTGTTTATTAACTTATGTGTAATTATTAAACTATTATAATCATTTTATAGAATATATAAAAACATATTTTTTGGACCAAGATTTAATGATTTTTAACTCTTTTATAAAAATTAATTGTTATATTTCAATTATTATTATTTCTATGAGGAAGCAAAGTGTTCATGAAATGAACACCAAAGTTATAAAAATGTACAACTTGGCAGCGGTTTTTATGGTTATGAGTGCACACTGAAAGAAACTTTGTTACAATATATGATAAAGTCGAAAGGAAATTTTAGTATTTTATTTTTCAAACGTAGGACATTCAGGGTTGATATTAAAGATTAATATAATTTTACGAATTGCTTTTACGGTAAATATATTCAAGAAATTGAAATTATTATTTTTTACTTTGAATTCAGAATTTTTGAATATTTATAAAAGTATACGAAAAACCAGTAGTCAGTAAATAGACGCGCCCATTCGTTATTTACAAAATTTATACGAAAATTCAGAACGATTTTTTCGTAATTTGCAAAAACTATTATATATAATTTTATATTATATATGGGCAATTCCACGCAAGATTTACCTATGACCTTGAGAATTCGGTTGAACATATTTTTTTCTCAATCTATATGGAAAAAAAAGAAATACGTGTTTTTTTATTTTTGAATACATCTCCCTTTCGTTAAAATACAATTTTTAATTGTTATAAACAATAATAGTTAACAAATAATGAACTTTGGTTCCTCTGCACCAAAAAGAATTTTTTTCATAGTTTTCTTTGAAGTTTATTACAAAGAATATATGTTAAAAAATAGTGAACGTATGAAATAGTTTGTTCAATAACTATAAACAATTTAATTTATATAAATTTGTATTAAATGTTTTTTTGCTTTCCTTGTGTTTTTGAAAATTAAAATAAAAAAATTAATTAATATAAAATAAATGCAATTAATATATATTTTACATTCAAATGTTTATTGTTTTATTTTGACACAAACATTCTTTGTAATAAACTTCAATGAAAACTATGAAAAAAATTCTTTTTGGTGCAGAGGAACCAAAGTTCATTATTTGTTAACTATTATTGTTTATAACAATTAAAAATTGTTTTTTAACGAAAGGGAGATGTATTCATTGAATGAACCTAAAGTACAATATGAATATGAAAGAACAAAGTTTTTTTATGGAGAGGAACCAAAGTTAACTATTTGTTAACTAATATTGTTTATAACAGTTTAGATAAATTATTTTATGTTTTACTATTTATTTGGTGGTCGTATATTATATTAATTGAATCTGATTTAGGACATGTGTAGTAGCAAAATAAGAAAATAATCTTTCATTTTTAAAGGAAACTACACAATTAATTTGTTAACTTTTTGTTTTTAAAAAAAATTATAAACAATTGAAGATTCTTAGGTTTGCATGGAGAGATATCTTCAGAAATTGTTCTTCTTTTATTTAAAACAAAAAACACTCGAATCGATTAAAAATTTTAGTCTGTAGACATTTTTTGAGAAGTAAATTGTAAAAAAATTCCATTGTGAGGCGTTTCGTAGAACGTGAGCACCTTGCACGTGATTTTTGAAAATTTTGTACAACTCATTAAACGCGTAGGCCCACTCCAAAACTTTTTGGAAAATCTTCTGTATATTATAAGGTATAAATAAATTTAAAAAAAAGGGTCCAAACCCAAGTGCGAAATGCCAAGACTGCAAAAACGGCCCATCATTGGTGCAGTAATGTCTGCCGAGAATTGGCAGTAGTTACTAGGCCATTATTGGTAACCAAAACGTCCCATTACTGGGCCAATGATGGTGCCGATGGTCAGAATTTCAAATTTTTTAAGACTGGGCCAGCTCTCGGCCCAATAACGGCACATTCATGGCAAAGTTTATCAATGTTTAATGTCAAAAGACAATTGCCAGTGATGTGCCGACCATCGGCCCAGTAATGGCTCATTATTGGCACTTTAATGGCAAAAAATTTGTATCGTTCATGGCAAATTATAATTACCAGTATTGGGGAGTAGCTTGGCTCAGTAACGGCATAATATTGGCAAAGTTGATCAATCTTTAATGGCAAAATTCAATTGCCAGTGATGTCACGAAGATCGGCCCATTAATGGCACATTAGTGGCACTTTAATGGCAAACATTTTGTATCTTTGATGGCAAATTATAATTGCCAGTATTGGGGCGTAGCTTGGCCCAATAACGGCACGTTATTGTCAAAGTTGATCAATCTTTAATAGGAAAATTCAATTGCCAGTGATGTGACGAAGATCGGCCCATTAAAGGCACATTAATGCCATTTTAATTTGGTATAATTTTTTATAAGAATTGAAATTTAAGAAACATTCAGGTATTCAATAAATTATTTATTTTGTATTTAAATAATTGAATAAGCTTGAAAAGGATTCAAATTAAAATATTTGAAACTTTGAATTTTCTATATTTTTAACTGTCAATTTTAAAGAATTAATTTTTTTGAAAAAGTTTAATTAAGTATTAATTTAAAAAAGAAGTTATTAATGTTTTCATATAATTTTACAATTAAAGAAATTCGTAAATAAATGTTACAGAAACCTTTTTTTGAGTAAAATTTTTCCTTTATTATCTAAAAATTAAGAAATTTTCAATTTCACTTTCAATTAATATTTGCAATTGACAAATAGAATTTATAAACATTTTTTTCCTTCATTTTTTTAAAATCTTTGAATTTTTCTTAAAGCAATTGTAATTAAGAAATAGAAATGATGCAAATTATTTCCTTAAGAAAATTTATTGAATAAATGAATGTTTTTTAAAATTTAATTCTCATAATTCAATTTTAAGAAACATTTAGTTATTCAATAAATTATTTATTTTTGCATTTAAATAATTAAATTCTCGTAGAATTTTTTAGTAAAAATTGATTTCAAAATGGATTCTAGTCAAATTTTCAGATAATAATTAAATATTAAAAATATACCATGAATTATGATATTAAAATTTTTTTAAATTCAATCGCCAATGATGTGACAAAGATTGGCCCATTAAAGGCACATTAATGGCACTTTAATGGCAAAAATTTTGTATCTTTAATGGCAAAATATAATTTCCAGAATTGGGGCGTTGCTTGGCCCAATAATGGCACATTCACGACAAAGTTGATCAATCTTTAATGGTAAAAGACAACTGCCAGTGTTGTGACGAAGATCGGCTCATTATTGGCACTTTAATGGCAAAAAATTTGTATCTTTCATGGCAAATTATAATTGACAGTATTGGGGCGTAGCTTGTCCCAATAACGGCACATTCACGGCAAAGTTGATCAATCTTTAATGGCAAAATTCAATTGCCAGTGATGTGACGAAGATCGGTCCATTAATGGCTCATTGTTGGCACTTTAATGGCAAACATTTTGTATCTTTGATGGCAAAATATAATTGCCAGAATTAGGATGTAGCTTGGCCCAAGAATGGCACATTAATGTCTATCATTTTGTATCTATGATGGCAAATTATAATTGCCAATATTGGGACGTAGCTCGGCCGAATAATGGCACAGTATTGGCCAGTGTAGTGTAGCTTATAAGAA